TGAACCTGGGATGGGAGATATTGTTGTGGCCATCTGTCACATAGGAGGGGTCTATCATCTTTATTCTTTAAATTTTATTTGTTTTTATTTTTATTTATTTTTTTAAAGATTTTATTTATTTGTCAGAGAGAGAGAGAGCGCATAAGCACGGGGAGTGGCAGGCAGAGGGAGAAGCAGGCTCCCCGCTGAGCAGGGAGCCCGATGTGGGAGTTGATCCCAGGATCCTGGGATCATGACCTGAGCCGAAGGCAGATGCTTAACCAACTGAGCCACCCAGGCATCCCTATTTGTTTTTAAAAGTAAACTCTATGCCTGACGTGGGGCTTGAACTCACGACCCTAAGATCAAGAGCCACATGGGCCACCGCCTAAGCCAGCCAGGTGCCCTGGGTCTACACTTGTCGTGACTGCCCCCCTCCCAGTCCCAGCTGTGTCAGGGCGTTTCATGGCTTCCCATCACACACTGACCATATGACATTCCAGCCTTGAGCCATTCCGTGCACATCCTCAACCATGCCTTGCTGAGGCCTCTTGTGCTTCCCTGGGGACACAGAGGTCTGTCCCCCCCCCCCCATTGCTCAACATCCCACCTTCTCCATGGGGCCATTTCACCTTCTAGAGCCGAGGACTTTCCTCTAGACCCAGGGCCCATCCTGGCCCCTGAAGACTCTTATCTTTCCCAAACCTGGGCTCAGATCTCTGTGGCCTTGAGCAAGTGCCTCACCTCTCTGAGCCCCACCTGTGTCATCTGTGAAATGGGAATGAAGAATGAAGTCCTCCACCTGTTAGGGATGTGGGGAGAAATGGGGGAGGAAGGCACTGACCAGAGGGCAGAGTTGGAGGGGAAAGGGCTGTCCAGATAGATGGGTGGTGAAAGCAAAGGCCAGCTGGGGGGTGGGAAGGGAGCACAGGATCTGCAACCCGGAGCAGCAGTTCAGGCTGGTGGAGGTGCCTGGTTCGGGGCCAGTGTCCACACAAGAACCAAGCTGGTTCTATGACCTTAGGTCAAGGTCAATGTGGGAGCCAGGCCAGGGGGCCTGCAGCCCTGACCTCTCACCCTCATCACGGTACATGTGTCCCTGGGTTACCATATGTGGATGTCCTGCCAAACACCAGCTCCTATTGATTACCTTCGTTTTTTTTTTTTGCTTAAAAATTATCTTCCTTTTTTTTTTTTAAGATTTTATTTATTTGAGAGAGAGAGAAAGGGCGAGAACAAGTGCGGGGAGGGGCAGAGGAAGAGCGAGAGAAAGAATCTCAAGCAGACTCCACGCTCAGTGCGGAACCTGACGCAGAGCTCGAACTCATGACCCCGAGGATCATGACCTGAGCTGAAATCGAGAGTCGGCCACTCAACCGACTGAGCCACCTAGGTGCCACCCAAATTATCTTCCTTTTCATTGTTACCATAGAGAATACAGAAATGCCTGAAGAAAGTACAACCTTCCCTAGTACCTCTTGCTGTCCCATCCCCCAGTGGGCTCAGAGAGGTGCAGAATGCTGCCCAAGGTCACAGAGCCCAGAAGCGGTGGGTCACGAATGGAACCCACAACCACCCGACCTGGGAGGAAGGTGAGCAATGCTTCATAGATATTGGCTCCAGGACTGGCAGGGCAGCCTCAGGGCAAATTACGTGCCTTCTCTGTGCCGGTTTTCTCACCTGCGAACTGGGGATAACCACCACCAAGCAGGCAGTGGGCAAGTCACAGGTCCAGAACGTCAGCTGGGCACACAGGCACTGGCGGCAAGGCTGCATGTCTGGGCTTCCAGGGCAGCCACGTGCAGCCACGTGACTGCTGTGACCAAGGGGCACAAGGGAGGGATGGATCAGTTTCCATATTGGGTCTCTAAGGGGTGGCGTGGGCCCCTCCCTTCCCCCTCGCCTCCTTGTTGCTGGCTGAAAGGTGGAATGGATAGACGGAGCACCAGCAGCCATCTTGGGCCATGAGATGACCTTGGATATAGGGATGGCACATACTAAAGCAACAACACAGAAGGACCTGTTTTCCAACACTGTGAGGCACCAACTCTAGATTCTGCATGAAATATATTAACTCGTGTCCGGTAACTCAATATTATGTTGTATCTTGCTGCCATTCGCCAATGAACTAGATCATACAAATACATATATCGTATGATATCTTGTGATACCAAAATTCCAGTGGTACTTTTTTTCCCCTCAAGGGGCTCATTTTTAAACTGGCCTCATCCTGTATATCCTGAAATCAAGGGTTCGGTGAGCTGATTTGCTGCAAACATTGAAACAAATTCGAATCTATTAAAATAAAGTCAAAGCCACTAAAACAAAAACATGTGGACTTCCAAACTGATGGGAGTGAGGATCTTGGCAAATGCACCCCCTAAAAGCAAAAATAAAACTAGACAGAGTTCTCAAAAACAACCATTTCAGGATCCTTGAGATTGATCAAAGGCATTCAACAAATTAAAAAGTGTTTATTCAGGAAAATCAGGATGGCAGGTAGGAGTGGTGAGAGATGGTGGTGCCTTTTGCCTAAAGCTGCTTTAGCCAGGCCAGGACCTCAAAGTCACTGCCTGACCGGGTGTATTTTCTTTGGAACTGAATAGCAACATACTGGGAAGGGGAGGGATTCTCAGGGTGGAATGAACGGGGAAGGTCAAGGTCTCCTAACTAGCCTGAGGTTGGGATCCTGGTTGCAACAGACTGGTGAACTAATCAGCAGTCGAAAGGCCCAGAGAACACAGCCACAGCTGACCCCACGCATCAGCAAGGGACCAGATAGCTGGGTGCATGCGCAAGGCTGTGCACATGCTTGGGAGAGGTGGAGAGAGGCCTGTCCACCCACAATTCCATGCAACCTGCCCAAAGGAAGGCCATGCATGCGCGCTGAGGAAACGTAAGAGAGGGGTAGGGGGCGCCTGGGTGGCTCAGTCGTTAAGCATCTGCCTTCGGCTCAGGTCATGATCCCAGGGTCCTGGGATCGAGCCCCACGTCGGGCTCCCTGCTCAGCTGGAAGCCTGCTTCTCCCTCTGCCACTCCACCTGCTTGTGTTCCCTCTCTCGCTGTGTCTGTCAGATAAATAAAATCTTAAAAAAAAAAGGGGGGGGGGTAGGAAGCTGAGGCAGGGCCAACTTGCAAGCTGTCTAAGCACAGGGCCACTGGTGCGGACCCTCAGCAAGTCAGGTGTCTGAGCAGAAAGCCCGGGCCGTCGCTGGCCGTCACAAGCTAGGCCGACCCAGGGGTGATACCTAGAGGAAGGCAGCCTAAAAACAAAACCCCAAACCTGAGCAGAGACATCAGCAGCTACTTGCTGTGGGGGAGGCAGACCCTACAGAGTTAGATCAGTAATTCTTTTTTTTTTTTTATGTGTATCGACACATCTTTATACATCTCAAATGATATATATTTGAGAAATACACATACCTTGGAGACTTTCATATCAGTACACAGAGCTGGCTCATTCTTTGTTACAGTTGTACGAAGTATGACAATGAAAACTATACAAGTTGCTGAATGTGTGTGTTGTTGTTTCCCTGTACACGGGTTTTTAACTTGCCTTTTATATATCCTCTGTTTAATCAAAGTTGGTTTTGCATTTTGTCCTTCCAGAAAATTAGCTCTTGGGTTTTTTTCCTTCTCCATTTCTGTAGAGCAGCAATTCTTAAACAAAGAAAGCAAAGCCATCATCCACGAAACTCCCCATGGCGGGGGTGGGGGCGAATTTAGAATTCAGAGTTGCTACAATCTATTATTTAAAATGCCCATTTTTTGGGGCGCCTGGGTGGCTCAGTTGGTTAAGCCACTGCCTTCGGCTCAGGTCATGATCCTGGAGTCCCGGGATCG